TTTTTTTTTTTTTTTAAGAGACCGAGTCTCACTTTGTTGCCCTCAGTAGAATGCCGAGCTCACAGCAACCTCCAGCTCTTGGGCTTAAGCGATCCTCTTGCCTCAGCCTCCCAAGTAGCTGGGACTACAGTTCCTGGCTATTTTTTGTTACAGTTTGGCTGGGGCTGGGTTAGAACCCGCCACCCTTGGTATATGGTGCCAGCGCACTACTCCCTGAGCCATGGGAGCGACCCAGAAAGTGACAGTTCTACTAAATTTGCTCAAATCTCCCTTCAAGATTATACCTCAATCTATAACAGTCAAAAAATGGTCTCTATAGAAATCAGTGTTAAGATTGTTTTGAATCTTATTCAGGGTCCTATAGACATTTTCCTTTCATTGTTCTAATTGCCTTATATTTTATTGAAATCTCATTTTGGTTCTATATTTCACATTTTTAATTTAGAAAAACTTTTCTAATAGTGGTTTGAAGCATCAGATTTATGTAAGCGATATTATACTAATTTTATAGGATTAGAGTAGATGAATTCCTTCTGGAGGGTTGTATGTTTATCTGGAACTAACTCTTGATAATTTTACATTTTTGTTGTTGTTGTTTTGCAGTTTTTGGCCAGGGCCGGGTTTAAACCCACCACCTCCAGTATGTGGGGCCGGAGCCCTACTCTTTTGGGCCACAGGTGCCACCCAATAATTTGCCATTTTTTGCTGATCTCGTGTTTTACTTTAAAAATGAATGTGAATTTTGTCTACTTCATGCTGTTTCTCTCTTTTATTTAAACAAATTAGCTACTAGCAAATAGTATTGCCTATTGCCCAGGAGGAAGAGGTGCAACATTGATTCTTTGACTGTTAATACATGTACTCGGTCAAACTGTGATTTAGCCCTAGTTTGGAAAGATGGGTAGGACAATAATAAAAAGAAATCTCTAAGACTTATTTTACTCTAATGTGCATCTTGTTGGAAAGTAAGTAATGGATTTATCTATCATTCCTATATTTCTTTTTGTTTTAACAATAGCTGAATAAATGTTATATACTATAGAAATTAAGTAGATTAAGTAAGTTGTCAGGGTGTGTTCCATTATTTTCCTATTTGTGGTGATAACACATTAGAGATGCCAGAACTCATAGGTGCCTTTTTTTTCCAACTAGAAGTAATGCCTTAGATAAACCTAATTGACTGTGATACTGCCACTGTGCAAAGTAGTGCTTTTTTTATTTATGTATTTATTTATCAACAGTCTTCACTCTGTTGCCTTGGGTAGAGTGTCATGGTGTCATAGTGCACAGCAACCTCAAACTCTTGGGCCTGAGCAATCCTCTTGCCTCAGCCTCCTGGAGTGGCTAACACAAACAGGCATGTACCACTGTGCCTGGCTAGTTTTTCTGGGAGTTTTAGTAGAGGCTTGGGGTCTCATTCTTGCTCAGGCTGATCTCAAGCTCCTGAGCTCAAGCGTTCCACCCACCTTGGCCTCCCAGAGTGCTAGGACTACAGGCATGAGCCACAGTGCATGGCTGGTGCTTTGGTTTTAATTGGCACTTAAACTTTTGGGTAAAGGGAATCTACTTAGTGGAAGTATAACAGGTAATTTCCAGTGAGTTTTGCTTTTCTGGCTGTGTGTCCAGTTCAGATGGGCCAGACAGAAACTATATGAGCTGTTTATTGCACGTTAGTCAATATAGTCAGGCTTTATTTATTTAATTTCCTGCCTGGGGATAGGTGTCTACAGTAAAAGCCAAGTTAAAAATGGGAACGAGGGTAGCGCCTGTGGCTCAGGGAATAGGGCGCCAGGGAGTAGGGTGGAGGGTTTGAACCTGGCCCCAGCCAAACTGCAACAAAAAAATACATACATAAATAAATAAATAAATACTACAAAATGACAAAATTTTAAAAAATAAAAATAAAGATGGGAATGAGGAGAGGGCGGTTGATCCTCAATTTCAGAAATAAAAAGTATGGCAGCCAGCTGCAGTGGCTCACACCTATAATCCTAACACTCTGGGAGACCGAGGTGAGTGGATTGCCTGAGCTCACAAATTCAAGACCAGTCTGAGGAAGAGCAAGACTCTGTCTCTAAAAATAGCCAGGTGCTGTGGTGAGTGCCTATAGTCCCAGCTACTTGGGAGGCTGAGGCAAGAGAATCGCTTGAGCCCCAGAGTTTGAGGTTGCTGAGAGTTACGACGCCACAGCACTCTACCGAGGGTGACAAAGTGAGACTCTGCTCAAAAACAAAAGTGAGGGCAGAATTATTTGAGTCTTCCATGTACTAACTGTGAATAAAACCAGAGACCTGGAATTACTCCTCTAAAAACTTTAACTTCTCCAAATTTGTATTAGTTATCTTCTGCTCTCCATAGTAATTAGTTGTAAAGCTCCTTTTTTTATTTTTTAAAGACAGAGTCTCACTTTGTGGCCCTTGGTAGGGTATTGTGGAGTCATAGCCCACAGCAACCTCAAACTCTTGGCTAAAGTGATTCTCTTGCCTCAACCTCCCAAGTAGCTGGGACTACAGGTGCCCACCACAACGCCCAGCTATTTTTAGAGACGAGGTCTGGCTGTGGCTCAGGCTCTTCTCAAACCTCTTGAGTTCAGGCAGTCCACTTGCCTTGCCCTCCTAAGTGCTGTAATTATAGGTGTGAGCCACCTCGCCCAGCCTATGTAAAGCTCTTTTTTAAAGAGTATCTGTTTGTCTTGGGAAAAAAGAAAGGGGAATCCAAGAGACTTGCACCCTGAAGCCAAGCTAGTGTGTCAGGAAAGGATTTAGGGTCAGGTGGTAGCTGCTAGAAAAGTGAAAGTAGGCTTCAGTCAAGGAAAAACGGGAGCCAGTGTGTCCTGGAGAAAGAGACCCTGGGCGGCTTGGTGCCCATTGCTCAGTGATTAGGGCGCCGGCCATATAAACTGGGGCTGGTGAGTTTGAACCCGGCCAGGGCCTCCTAAACAACGACAGCTGCAACAACAAAAATAGCTGAGTGTTGTGAAGGCGGCTATAGTCCCAGCTACTCAGGACACTGAGGCAAGAGATTCACTTAAGCCCAAGAGTTTGAGGTTGCTGTGACCTGTGAAACCACGGCAGTCTTCCAAGGGTGACATAGTGAGACTCTGTCTCAAAAAAAAAAAGGAGACCCTGGGGTTGAACAGTCAAAAAGCTCCTCTAGTTTCTCAAAAATTATAAAATGGAATTTTTTTTTTAATCCAAATGTACAATCTTTTGTCCTGTGATTTTGGATTTTACCAAAAAGGAATCCATTGACTTGGGGAGTGGGGAGAAGCAAGCGTGATGCACAGTGGGAAAATAGATTCACGGTTGGCCTGGTCCTGTGGCTCACACTTGTAATCCCAGCACTCTGGGATGCTGAGGCAGGTGGATTGCTTGAGCTCAAAAGCAGCCTGAGCAAGAGCAAGACTCTGTCTCTATTAAAAATAGAAAAACTGGGGCAACGCCTGTGGTTCAGTGAGTAGGTTGCCGGCACCATATACTGAGGGTGGCGGGTTCAAACCCAGCCCTGGCCAAACTGCAACAACAACAACAAAAAGTGGGAAAAAAAAAAAAACCAGAAACTGAGCCAGACATTGTTGTGTGTGCCTGTACTCCCAGCTGCTCAGGAGGCTGAGGCAAGAGAATCACTTGAGCTTAAGACTTTGAGGTTGCTGTGAGCTAACATGTTACAACACTACAGAGAGCAACAAAGTGAGACTATGCTCAAAAAAAAAAAAAAAAAAGAAAAACCTTGTGTAGAAAGTAGATTTGATCTAGTTGGATTAGAATTGAGAAGAGGAATTTGGAGCTTTCCTGCATTTCTGTTATAGAAATTGGGCATATGATAGTGCGGTTTACTAAGAAAGGGAGTATCTCTGAAGCAGGTTTGAGGAGATAATACAGTTGTAAATCTCTTGAGTTCAAGAGAACTGTGGAACATTGGAATGGAGATATTTCATAGGCAATTAAGTATTTGGAGCTTAGAAATGTAGGGAAAAAATCAGCTCATAGGTGATAGTTGAATTTGAGAGAATACTGGGGAATTGTGCTTTGGAGGAACACAGATGTTTTTGAAGTAGGTGAAATAAGTAAAAAAGACTGGCAACAAAGTAAAAGAGGAAATAGGAGGACATGGAGTCAGAATTCAAGGAAGGAGATAATTTCAAGGATGAGAGAAGGAGCGGTCAGAGAGAGGGTATGAGCTTTAAGTTAGATCCTTGACTGTTTTAAGTGCTTTGTGAGAGGCACCAATGGGAGGTGAAGAGGAATTCAAGCAGATGAGAGGGTAATTGGAGGGCAGACGGTAGTGAGCACAGGTAACTGCTAACCTTAGACAGAACGCTTTGCATTTTCTGAGACTATTGTTATGTTAAAAATAAACTGGTGGGAAGGGAAGGGATTGAGGTAGCTCACACCTGTAATCCTAGCACTCTGCCATGGACTGCCAGAGTTCAGGAGTTGCAGACCACCAGAGCAAGAGGAAGACCCTGTTTCTACTAAAAATAGGAAAAAGAAACTAGGCAGGTACCAGTAGTCCCAGCTACTCAGGAGGCTGAAGCAAGAGGATCTCTTGATCTCAAGAGTTTGAGGTTGCTGTGAGCTATGATGACAGGGCACTCTTCCAAGGGCAACAGTTTATTTTATAAACAAATAAAATAAAAAATGGTGGGGTGGTGCCTCCTCAAAGGAGTAGGCTGCCGGCCCCATATGCCCGAGGGGGTGGATTCAAACCCAGCCCTGGCCAAAAACTGCAAAAAATAAATAAATAAAAATAAAAAACAGTAGGTTTGGTGGTGCTGCAGCCAGAAACAGAGACTTTTCAGAAGAAAACACACAGGTGGTAGCTACCAGAGAAGTGTAAAGCAAAAATGTATTGAGATAATGGATGAAGGGAAGGAAACCGATGCTGGTTCCTTTGAGGGAACCTTGAAGCCCAGTTGTTAAAGACCCTCTGGTTCCATAAAATTATCATACTTTAAAAGACTAATTGTAAAATCAGACCCTATCAATATTTTATTTTAGGAATCTGGAAACTGTTCCCCAGGAAGAATCCCATTAGTCTGGAACTGGCGGATTCCTTTGCATCAGATACTCAAATGAAGGAACCACCGTTAGATGGTGAATGTGACAAGGCAGTGGCACCACAGCTGGGGCTGCTAAAAGAAATTAAGACAGAACCCGACAATGCTCAAGTAAATGTTTTACCTTATTTTATGTTTTCTCTAGAGCAGCATTTAATTATAAGTTTTAGTTATAAGGGTGCTGAAATTATTAGTTGAAAAACTTAAGTCCTGGGAGGCGCCTGTGGCTCAGTGAGTAAGGCGTCGGCCCCATATATCGAGGGTGGCGGGTTCAAACCCAGCCCTGGCCAAACTGCAACAAAAAATAGCCGGGCGTTGTGGCGGGCGCCTGTAGTCCCAGCTACTTGGGAGGCTGAGGCAGAAGAATCGCCTAAGCCCAGGAGTTG